CCCAGGATCCCGGGGCCTCGTGTGCTGCGACCCGCGGGCTGCCCGGGCTCAGAGGCGGGGCCGCGTCCCCCGTCCCGGCGCTTCTCCGAGTCTGCCTGGAAAGGGCAGCGCTGCAGCGGTTGCAGTCGAGGCGGTCGAGACCGGCGGGACCCTGCGCCGAGGCGGGTTCCCGAGCAGGGCCCCGGGGGCGGCGGCGTCTTCCGCGCGGACCGCGCGGCTGGAAGGGACGCGGGAGGGGAAGCGTGCGCTGCAGCGTTTGCGCGCGCCGCAGCGCCCGGTCCTCGTCGCGTTTGTCCCGCCCTGCTCGCTGCCGGCGGACGCGCTGGGCGGACGGCTACTGCTCGTCGCTTTGCGGTTTTTTTTTTTTTTTTTTTTCCTTTGAAATCACTGAGCTACAAACATAACTTTGAAAATTGGGAAGTACTAGTTAGGTTGCTCTTCCTAGAGAGCAGGGCGTGCGGTCCCGATCTCAACCGTCTGTCCGTCCTCCTGGCCACTGGTTTTGTACCTACGGGGTGCATTCCAATGTAAATAAACCCCTTTCCCGGTGTTAGTGTGTAGGGAAGGTGTGGACTTTATACTCTCTCAAACAAATTGAGTAACTTCCGTGTGGATCACGGATTCAAAAGCCTCTTTGCCCAAGTAGAAGGAAGTAAAAAGCAGCGTTCTGAGAAAGAAGCACCTGCCGACAGGAGCCAGGTATCGCTGCAGACCGCAAATGCGGGTGCTTTTACCCGAGTCACCCAGGTGCCCATTCAAATACAGATGCCCAAAGTACCCTGAAGTAGGATGCGCGGGTGGGCCCATGAATCTACATTTTAAACAAGTTTTTCCCCCGTTTCCCACGGGCAGAATAAAGTGGGAGCCACGTGGAAGTTTGAGGGCTTGGGTGGTTGGCCGGTTTTTGGAATAAAGCTGAAAAGTTTTGATTCAGTGACCCACGGGGGAGGGTGGGGGCTGAAAAGACGGGAAGAAAGGCACGCGTGGGTGGCCTTCCAGGGCCTTCGGGCCAGCGCCTCTGTCCTGTGTGTCACAGGTTACTGGTGCAGGAGTCCTTGAGAAGCTGTAGCTGTGTGGCTGAGCCCAGGCATGCGTGGGGTGTCCTGACCAAAGGCAGTGTTCCTGAGGCCCTTGACCCTTTCCCACCCTGGAGGCATCTCTGACCCCTCCTTTTCACAGTTTATCACAGATAACTTGTCTGACAGATTTGTTTCAGGCCATATTACAGGTCCTTAGGCCTTCATCTTTTAGAGCTTTATTGCTTTTTGAGACAAAAAGAGTTTCACTGTAGTCCCAAGCTGGCTTTGAAGTTGCATTGACCCTCCTGCCTCAGCCTCCTGAGTGGTGGGATGACAGGTGTCCACCACCACACCCAGCTGAAATTTATGCTTTTGTTTTTTGGTCTTTTTGAGACAGGGTCTAAACTCACTTGTTGCCCAGGCTGGCCTCGAACTCACAACGATCCTCCTGCCTCAGCCTCCCGAGTGCTGGGATTACAGGTGTGCAGCACCACACCCAGCAAAATTTATCTTGTTAAAAGGTCAAGAAATAAGTTGCCTCTCAGGAGCAGCCTGGCCCATTTTATCTGGAGGGCTTCACCAACGGTAGTGTTGAGACTGCTTCAGGTTGTGCAGAGAAATCTTTGCCCTTTTTGTAAAGTCCACCCTGGAAAGCACCCACCCGTGTGGCTGAGGTTTAGGGTTTTTCACTGTAAATGCACATCTCCCACCTATGTGACTGAGCGGACTGAGTTCTTCCCTTCCTAGCAAGGTTTCCTAGGCCGGAAGCAGATTCAGTCCCGAGTGGCTTCTCTCTCTGAGGCATTTTTTCTCTCCAGTGTTCCCATCTGTGCATGAATTCGAATCTTCTCCAGAGTGGAGCAGCCTGGCATAGCGGGTGGTGTGAGTGACTCACAGACCCACCTCACAGCCCACTTCCGTGGGGATGTGCGGTGGGGTGGGGTGGGGTGCTGTGCTTGCCTGGCTGAGCTGCAGATCTTCTGTGCATGGATCCCGTAGTCTCTTGGGGCATCTCCAGTGAGGGCTGTTCCAGAAGTCCCTGCAGCAGAGCTTGGCCACCCAGTGGTAGATGCCCCAGAGCCCAAGAGAGGAACTCTGGGCTTTGGGAGGACCAGGCCCTGGCAGCTGGCTGCCAGCGTGAATGGGAGGGGTTTGGCCTGATGTGAGTGTAAAGGGGCAGGTGAAGGTGCTCCCAGCCCCAATGGGCTTGGTTATTCTGGGCTCAGTTAACAGTACCCAGCCAGGTGTGGTGACGCACACTTGTAATCTCAACACTCTGGAGGCTGAGGCAGGAGGATCATTACCGAGTTCCAGACCAGCCTGGGCTACAAAGTGAGCTCAAGGCCAGCCTGAACTGCATAGCAAGACCCTGTCTCAAAAAGACAAAAAAAAAAGAAAAGATAAACAGCACTGGAGCAATGTGAGCGTTTTGACCTCAAGAAGTTCTTTCAAAGAAACATGTCAAGAGACCCTGCGGGATTTTCTGAATACCACTGCCCCTCAGTGGTCTAGAAAAATCTGCAGAGGGCGAGGGCAGAGAATTAGGAATTTTATCCTACCGGATAAGGAGACACCCTCTTCCTCTCGGTGCTGCCAGTTCTGTGTGGGCCACCGAGGCCGTGCTGTCGCCCAGGCTGTGCATCCGGGAGCCTGGTCCTTTGCTCTCCTCTGTGCCGGGGCCTGTAACCAGCGGGCAGGAGAATCAGGAGCTGGGTTGGCCAGGTTCTGCGTGGAAGTGGCGGGCGTTTCTGTGCGTTTGTTTCCGTCTCCGATGAAGGAGAAGCACAGGCTTGCATTAGGCAGGGCGTGCGCGTGGCAGGGGAAGTAGGGAGAGGGTTGAGTGAGGCGACTAGTGTGAGGTGCGGGTGGGTCTCTTGTGGGCTTTGAGTAATTGGTTTGCACCTTGGTAGATTTTAATGGTGGTTGGTAGAGCTGCCCCCGCAGAGCCCGCACTGGCTTGGCGGTTCCCCGGGGTCCCCACCCTGAGAGCACCCGTGCCCTGCACAGTAACCAGCTGTGTTGATTGAGCTCCCAGGAAGCGGCCGGGAAGAGTAATTGGCCCCTGGAAAGAGTCTGGCTTCAGAGTAATGAAACTGCCGTGTTGCTGCGCACGGTTCTGTTTACTGCTGCGACAGTCGTTGGGGAAACGGGTTGTGTGGTCGCATACTTTCGGCAAAGAATTAAACTTGATAGTCGGATATACTCGGTTTTTGGCACTGTGGAGGGAAAACTCTGTTTCCAGGCGAAGGTATAGTTTGTTGAATGTGTTTGATGCATATTGGCCCTATAAATTCCTCAAGTTGTCTCAAAACGTCTTCTACCCTGGGTGTTGCTCAGAGGTGACTTTCTAGGTAAAATAGGACTGCCTGCCTCCCCCTTGAGTCTTTCCCTCCAAAAAGGTGAGAAAACCCATGGGGCTGTGTTCCGACGCTGAGGTGACACGCTGCGCGCCTTCGGAAACAGCGTTAGCCATGGAAGCGGAGAGTGAGTCCCCGTTTCCTGCCGATGCTACTCAGAGCCAGGCCGGTTTCATGCGGCCCTGCTTACGCACAGAGGGCCTCTGGCAGGCGGGGGGCTGGTTTTGCCCCCCACGTCTCCCGACATTTGGACTCTAAAATCTAGACGGGTGCTTTCCGACCTCGCTGATAGAGAATGCAGTGCCCTCGCCTTCTGGGGTGATACGTGGTGCATTTGAGGCCTGGGGAGCTGAGAAGGTTTCTGGGCAGAGTGGCCAGTTTCCCAACCCGTCTGGGCATTTTCCACTCAGATTCTCCTGATAAGGAAAATGCCATTGAGGATGAAGAGGACGAAGACGACGATGACGACGATGAGGAGGAAGACTTGGAAGTTAAGGAAGAAAATGGCGTCTTGGTCCTGACTGACGCCAACTTTGATAACTTCGTGGCTGACAAGGACACGGTGCTGCTGGAGTTCTACGCGCCGTGGTAAGGGTGCACGATCCAGCCCTGCAGCTGGACGACCTCTGGTGGGTGGGAGGGTCTGGCCGCGGGAACTCAGCTCCTGATGGGGTGCTGGGAGCTGGGTCCGTTGTCCCACCAGCTGGCACCAGGCGGCCTTGAGCCAGCCTTACGGAAGACGGTTTCTTCCCATTGCCAAGCAGGCCACGCTGGCTGCCCAGAGGACAGGCTGTTGACCCGAGGGTGGTCCTTTCGTACATGCCCGGTGCACAGGACACAGGCACCCCTTCTTTTCCGGTGTCATCCAGCGTGCCGCCCCGATGCCCCCCGTCCCTCTCCTGCTGCTTTGCGTCTCGCGTTCTTCCCTCCCGCTTTGTTTCTGGCACAGAACGGTCAGGGTCTACTTGTGTGACTTGGCTGGCACCTGCTTTAAGTACAGAGTGAGGGTTTTGTACAAAAACGTCTCAGCAGTCTTTCTAATAGGTCTGTGGGGTCGTTGTCTCTCTCCTAGTTTGTGTCTTGTAGATGAGGACTATTTTGGTTTGGCTGAGTTTGTTATTTTTATATTCTTGCAGTGCTGGAGATTGAACCTAAGGCCTCAGGCTTGCTAAGCAGGTATTCCAGTGAGCTGCACACCCCCACCCCACTCCTGTTTTGTAGTTCAGCAGATTTCATGCTTATTGGTTAAGATCCTCTTTTTTATTATTTATTTGGTTGGTTTTTTGAGACAGGGTCTTGCTGTAAAGTTCATGCTGGCTTTGAACTCATGTATCCCAGGCTGGCCTCAAACTCAATGTGATCCTCCTGCCTCAGCCTCCTGAGTGCTGAGATTACACCCCGACCAGTACAAGATCATCTAAACAATCTTAAACTGAGAACCCCAAAGAGCTTTTAGTGTGTCATGTTTATCAGCATTTACCATATGAAAATGAAAATGGAAAAATACTGAAAATATTTATTAGTGCATTTGTAGTAAGATATTTTTCCTTTGGTGCGGTATGTACCAGGAGTACCCAGCCCAGGGCCTCACATGCTGGGTAAGCACCGTACCCCTGAGCTCCACCCCGGCCGTGTCTGTCCATGCAGCAGTGCGCAGCCGGGCAGCCTCTGGACACCTCCACTGTGCACTGAGTGGGGTTGAGGAGCGGTGGCCTCCCAGGCCCTTGGAATTGGTTACGTGCCAGCGCTGACAGGTCTGTGTGCCCTTCCCATGGTGTCTGAGGTGGTGGATTCCACCTCTCTCACCCCCATGGACGCCAGAATCCCCAGATGCTCAGGTCCTGTCTGCCGCAGTGTTGTATGTGACCGGCCTGTGCCCGTTAGTGTCCCTTACGTCATCACTGTGGTGCTTGTGGTCCTTGACTGATACACGCTCTGTGAATAGCTGCTGTGCTGCACAGCTTAGGATCATAGTGGTGGGAAACCCGTCCAGACAAGTTAGAAGTTGAAAGGAGCTGTCCAAGCCAGAGCTGGAACTCACTGGGCCTGCTTCACCCTAGAACCTCTTGGCCTCCCTCTGGCTGATGAGAGTCTGTCAAGAGTAGGTGGCTCCTGGAGCCCCATTCCCATGTGTTTCATTGGCTTTAAACCTGCACGGGTGCCGTTAACCCCTTTTTCCTTTCCTGGACCACATTCTTAGGTGTGGACATTGCAAGCAGTTTGCTCCGGAATATGAGAAAATTGCCAGCACGCTGAAGGACAATGACCCCCCGATTCCTGTGGCTAAGATAGATGCCACCTCGGCGTCCATGCTGGCCAGCAGGTTCGACGTGAGCGGCTATCCCACCATCAAGCTCCTGAAGAAGGGCCAGGCCGTTGACTACGAGGGCTCCAGGACCCAGGAAGGTGAGCTGGGCCACGAGCGCAGTGCCTGCTGCTGGGATAACTTGGCAGGGTGTCCTCACATGCACACCAGGACGCTGGGGCGGTGGGCCTGGATCAGGGCTGTAAGAAAGGACATCAGGCTGGGGAGATAGCGGCACAGCGCCTGCCTGGCAAATGCAAGGTCCCGAGTTCAATTCCTGGTACCAAAAAAAAAAGACATCAGAGGCACTGTTCTCAGTGGGTTCTGGAGCTGTGGTGCGTGGTGCTTAGTGTGTGTCTGGAGGGCTTGGACGGACTGCTGGGCCTCACCCCAGAGTGTGTGACTCAGTAAGTTCAAGTTAGGCCAGATACCTGGCATTTCTGAGAAGGGCCCAGGGCCGGCTGGTGCTGTGGTGGCAGGTGCAGGCTGTGTGCCGAGTGAGACTGGGTCTCCCCTAGGGTCTAGTGGATTCTGCCTAGGTTGCCTTAAATTGTGATTTTGTTTAGCAAGGGTGTGTTTCTTTTTTGTGTGTTTTTTTCGGTACCAGGACATTTCTGAGAAGGGCCCAGGGCCTGCTGGTGCTCTGGTGGCAGGTGCAGGCTATGTGCCGAGTGAGACTGGGTCTCCCCTAGGGTCTAGTGGATTCTGCCTAGGTTGCCTTAAATTGTGATTTCTGTTTAGCAAGGGTGTGTTTCGTTGTTTTTTTTTTTTTTTTTGGTACCGGAAATCAAACTCGTGACCTCAGGCTTGCCAGGCAAGCGCTTATATGCAGCTGAGCTACATCCCTGGCCCCAAGTGTATGTTTGTTTTAATCAGTTTAAATGGGAGGAGGGGAGGCACACCCCTAATCCAGCACTCTGGGAGACTGTGGCAGGAGGATCACCATGAGTTTAAGGCCAGTTTGCACTACACAGCGAGATCATCATTCAGGAAAAAGCAGGAAAGAGATGGAGATAAAGCTCAGTATAGAGACCCTAGGTTTGATCCCCAGTATTGGGGCCGGGGGAGTGAGGAGAAGTTGCATTTTCTGTTCCCAGCATGGAATAATGGGAAGCAACATTGAGTGGATTCAGATCTCCCTCACCCCACAGACTGGGGGTCTAACCCAGAGAACTCTACCACTGACACACACATGTACAGAGACCTTATTTTTTTCAAACAGAATCTTGCTAAGTTCCCCAGACAGAAATCAGACTTGCAACCCTCCTGCCTCAGCCTCCCTCAGTACAGACCTGGCTACAAACGTGCCATTGTGCCTAGCTATGATACAGCCACGGAATAAATTTACGGCCTGGAGCAGCGCCCTTTCCGTGCTGGGGTGCCTGAGGTCAGCTGGATGTGATCTAAGAGTCCTTTGAATCTCTTCTGCATTCATCAGCAGGACCATGAGGCCAAACACTTCATTGGTACCGAATTTCACGGTGCCTTCCTGTGTCTGATGGCCAGGCGACACTGTCACTGCTTCCTGGTGTGAGATGCAGGCTGATGAGTGGTCTTTCTCCCCTGACGCTGGGAGACCCAGCTCCCCTCCAGGAAGACATCTGGTAGAGGAAGTTTCCTCTCTGGTCCTGAGAGATGCTTTGTTTACAAAAGAAAAAAATCAAATGTTTTTGTGTATGTGTGCATAATTTTTCTCATACCTGACTGTTAGCGTGTTAAACACCATTCTACCCCGTGTTTAATGAACGCTTTTGCCGTATCAGTCCATAGGGAACTAAATCTAAAGACCGGTCAGAAGGAGTGTATGTCTTTGCAAGTAAGTGGGTGTCTGTGTTTGGCGTCTGGGCCCGTCCCATTGTGGAAGCTTTGCTCCCTCGCCTCCCCCACTCCGTGTGTGGTGTAATAAATGGGCGTCCCCAGGGAAGGTGGGACCAGCATGGAGGTGTTCGCAGCAGGAGCCATGCGGGCATGGCATGAGGCGCCTTGTGTACCCTTCAGTGTGCGGGTGTGGTTCTCAGTCTCCGTCCTGAGGAAGGGGCTTTGCAGCCACAGATCCTAAGAACCACTTGGTCTGAGTTTTGGTTTTGTGTGTGTGTGTGTGGGGGGGTGTTTTTGTTTTGTGCTGGGGATTGAACCCAGGGCCTCAGGCACACAAGGCAAGCGCTGTGCCGGGGAGCCGCCTCTGCAGCCCTGAGAGCCCCTTGTAAGATGATCCTCCTGTGCTCACTGAGCTGTGGGCTCTCTGGGGAATGAAGCCACAGGCAGTTCATACAGCCTTCTCAGGTGAAGCCACTGCAGGCCGAGTGAGTGTCAGCTGTGTGTGAGCTGCTGCTCCACTTTTATATTTTTCTCCATTTTTGCACACATTTTTTGCTACATGGAGTAGACTGGTGTTCGGTGTTTATGATTAGGCACATATGAAATTGGTTTCATGTTAAAGGGTGTCCCCAAATTGTATGGGGATCATGTGATCAAAACCAGTGGGCAGTGACTCCAAACCCAGCTGCGGTGGGTGAGTGGTGTGGGGATAACGAAGTCACTCATCAAGTAGGCCTTTCACCATCTCGGGGAGGCTGCTGGATGCGTGGGTGGCAGGGGAGACGCCACAGACGGTCACTGGAAATGGCAGCCTTCTGGCCCTCGTCCTCATGACCGTGGTACATACCTATAACCCCAGCTCCTTGGGAGGCTGAGGCAGGAGGATTGTAGGCAACTTGTAGGAGGATTGTAGCCTGGGCAACTTGCAGATCCCTGTCTCAAAAAGTAAAAAGGCTGTGTTTGATTCCCAGTACCTCAGAGCAAAACAAAAACCTGCCCAGGTGATCCTGGCTAGAGCTGTGGTTGGAGTTCAGGAAGTCACGTGTTTCCTGCTGTCCTGCGACCTTGCCTGTCCTCCTCCCCAGCTCCTGGAGCTGCCCCTGGCCTGAAGAAGCTGGCAGCTTGGGTCTCCACGAGCTCAGTCTCGTTTGCTTCTTTCAGAAATCGTTGCCAAGGTCAGGGAAGTCTCCCAGCCCGACTGGACACCTCCGCCCGAGGCCACGCTGGTGCTGACGACAGACAACTTCGACGAAGTTGTGAACGATGCCGACATCATCCTGGTGGAGTTTTACGCCCCCTGGTAAGATGGGTGTGTCCCGTGTCACTGGGCCCGGGTGAAGGTGGCCGATGGGTGGCTCAGCAGACACAGGGTGAGCTAGAGGCGCCGAGTCTTCCGGAAGGAGGCGATTGCGAAGCGCCGCCGGGGCAGTGGGTGTGGGAGGAGGCAGGGTACCCTTTCCTGGGGCGGAGCAGAGGATCCTAAGGAGATGCCAGGAGCAGCAGGAGAACGTGCAGCTGGCCTCTCTCCATGAGGTTCCAAAAGCTTGAGGACCCAAGTGGCTGCCGTCTCTGGCTCATGGGGCAGGTGTTCAGCTCGCACAGGGGAGCTCAGTGCAGTGGGCCAGTGGCCGCTTGGCGGGGCCCCAGGACACGGTCGTGGTGCTGCGTTGTCTCGGTGGGGCTCGGGCGGGCCTGGGATGGGCAGGAGTGCCATGGAAACGGATTTGAGCCTGGGAGCTTTGGATCAGGAATGGGGCCGTCGGGCCAACAGAAAGCTGTTGTTTCTCTGAAGCTGTCCTGCCTGTACCCTTGCCACCTGCCAGCCGTGAGACCAAGGAAATCCTCTCGCTTCTTAGCACTTGGTCCTGTCTCTCTTGGCCTTTCCCACCGAGCAGGTGTGGCAGGGTGCACCCGTCATGCGGTGGGTGTCCTGAGGGGCCCGGCCTGCTGCTGGGGATGTGTCCACCCTGGGACCGGGCGTTGACGGAGCTGGCTTCCTCCTGGCAGGTGCGGGCACTGCAAGAAGCTGGCGCCTGAGTACGAGAAGGCGGCCAAGGAGCTGAGCAAACGCTCTCCCCCGATCCCCCTGGCCAAGGTTGATGCCATTGCAGAGAAGGACCTGGCCAAGAGGTTCGATGTGTCCGGCTACCCGACCCTGAAAATCTTCCGCAAGGGAAAGCCTTTTGACTACAATGGCCCTCGGGAGAAATACGGTAGGTGGCTCCCTGCTCTGCTGCACGCAGGATGGAGTGCCTGTTGGGCTGGGACGGCTGGTCTGCCCTGGGCCCTCCTGAGCCCTGTGCTCTGCTCCCAGGCATCGTGGACTACATGGTGGAGCAGTCAGGGCCTCCCTCCAAGGAGATTCAGAGCCTGAAGCAGGTGCAGGAGCTCCTGAAGGACGGGGACGATGTTGTTGTCATCGGGGTCTTCCAGGGGGACAGTGACCCTGCCTGCCAGCAGTATCAGAACGCAGGTAGGTGCTGGCTGTGCGGGTGGCACCAGAAGTATCTCCTGGGGCACCTGTGGAAGGTGGCTTTGCAGCCTGGGTCCAGGGCCAGGCTCCTGGATGCTGAGTGGGCAAGGCCAGCTGTGCCGCCTGCCCTGCCCTCTGAGAGGAGGCGCGGTGGGGTCCCACTCAACCAGGTGGTCTGACCGTGGCCCGAGTCAGGCCTGGGTTCCCGCCCTGGCTCTCCTAGTCCCCGACATCAAGACTCTGGCCTGGGCCTGGCGCCCAGTGCCCTAGGAGGGTCTTTGCTTCCCGGGGAGTCGTCCTGGGGCTGGGGCAGAGTGCCTGTGAGTGCTGGTCCTGTTCTCTGAGAAGCAAGCTGTCAGCAGTCGTGTCTAAAGTGCTAATTAGAGGCTTTAAGCCCACTTCTCGCCACTTGGCACTGATGTGTGTGGCACAGTGACAGATGTGCAAGCATCAGGTGCAGATTAAAGTAGTAAAATCTGAGAGCTCAGCTGCATTCAGCCATGCTCTTGGTCTTCATCGCGTAGGCGGCCTTGTCGTCCTTTGGGTGGGTGGTTTGGTCCAGTGTGTTCGGACACAGGTTGCCCTGTGTGCTCCAGGCTGACCCGAGACTCACCAGCCTCCTCCTTCAGTCTCCTGTGCGTGGAGTGACACCTGTGCCACCACGCCTGGCTGGTGTCATCCCTTCTTGAGGAGTCATGAGGAAGCTTGTGGAGGGAGGCCCCAGCCTACCAGGGCTTTTACATTTAAGAAGAACTGCATTTGGGGTTCCAGCCGCAGGCAGAGCCGGATCCCCCACCAGGGCACCAGCCAGGAAAAGGTGGCATAGGGATGCGGGGCTGTGGGATGCTCGGGCGTCCGCTCTGGTGTGTCAGCCCCAGTGTCCCCGTGCTGCACGTCAGCGGAGACAGCAGATGACGGCAGCTCCTGACAGATCAGCCGAGTCTTTCCACGAACGTTCAGTGGGTTTTGTTCCCACAAACCCCAGGACACGGGCGAAGGCTCTCCACTGCGCTGAGTGTTTAAGATCGAGCTCCCTCGGGCTCAGCCCGTGGCTGCTTCCCGCAGAATTCACCCCGCAGCCACGCTTCTCGGGGCCAGGGCTTTGGCCGAAGTGGGCAGCAAGGTGACCCTTGGTCAGATAAGCAGTTGAATAAACTGCATTGTACCTTTCTGTTAACCTGCCAGCTAACAGCCTGAGAGAAGATTACAAATTCCACCACACTTTTAGCTCTGAAGTTGCGAAGTTCCTGAAGGTGTCCCCGGGGAAGCTGGTTGTCATGCAGCCTGAGAAGTTCCAGTCCAAGTACGAGCCCCAGAGCCAAGTACTGCAGGTTCAGGTGAGTAGGGAGCTCGGGGTGTGATGCGGGCCACCGGCTTCCCTAGCCCGCCTCCGCCACCACCTGGGAGGCTGGGGTGGGAAGGTGGCGTCGCGGTTTGCAGGAGGGCTGGGGTTGGAACTGCGCGCCTGGCAGTCCTGGGGCCTTTGGTCCTTGGCTCTTGTCCCCTCTGGCAGCCAGCTCCAGGCCTGGTGGCACCGCTCCTGCATGGGTTTGCCTGGGTGTCGCCGGGTCCCTGCTTGGAGCTGTGAAGCTTGTTTCATGGGCTTGGCCTTTGTTTGCGCCACACCCACCCAGACACCCCGCCTTGTCTAACCAAGCGTGTGACGCACGTGGGGTCCAGCGTCCCGAGGGCTCCGGCGGGCGGAAGGAGCTGTGGCGTGGACTCAGGAGCGGCTGTCCGGCGGGCTGGGCCGGGCCCCGCTGCGTTAGCAGCCGAGCTGGGGGGAAGTGCAGGTGGCCCTGTGCTTTCAACTGCCCCTGCTGTTTGGGCTGGGGACTCGTCGGGGGGTAAGTGCCAGGTGGCAGCGCGGAGCAGCACTGCCCTGTGTCTTTCTGCCCCTTGCCCTGGGCCTCCACCCTGGGCTCTGCCTGCCCCACCTGCTGCTCTCAGCATGGGCTCGGGACTCTTCCCTGGACTTACGACGTGGCTGCTGGGATTCCTCCTTGTGTTCCCTTCATCAAAGACACGGACTTGGGGTCCACAGAGGGGTCCTGGTGGGGTGAGTGACTCTGGAGAGTCGACCCCTTTAGAGCCCAGAGCTGCGGGGATGTGCTGTAGTGGCGCCAGCCTAGCATTCGCCTTCGTGAGAGGCGTGTCAGCAACACACATCCATCACCTGTGCCGTCTCTGACACAGGGTTCCACCGAGGCTTCCACCATCAAGGACCACGTGGTAATGCACGCCTTGCCCTTGGTGGGCCACCGCAAGACCTCCAACGATGCCAAGCGCTATGCCAAGCGCCCCCTGGTGGTTGTCTACTACACTGTGGACTTCAGCTTCGACTACCGTTCTGGTGAGGGGGCCCGGATGGCTGGGGTTGGGCGCTTAGGGGTCCTGTCCTGGAGCCTCTGCAGGTCAGTGGCACAGGGATGTGGTTGTTGGGAGTTGCAGGGCTATTTCCCACCGTTTGCTCTTCCCTTTCATGCGAGAGAGGAGCTTAGCATAGAGCCCAGGCCCCTCACAGATGAGGCTGCAGAGCAGGACCGGCCCAGCCTCCACTCGGGGCAGGGCGCTGTCCCTAGTGGTACTGTGCGGCCGGTCCGTCCAGGCCTGGTGTATCAGCAGAGGTCAGTGGCACCCCTTAACCCTCCCCTGAGCCTGGGCTCCGCTCAAGGGCTTGCTACCTTCCAGCCACTCAGTTCTGGCGGAGCAAGGTCCTGGAGGTGGCGAAGGACTTCCCTGAGTACACCTTTGCCATCGCCGACGAGGAGGACTATGCCTCGGAGTTGAGTGACCTGGGGCTCAGCGAGAGCGGCGAGGACATCAACGCGGCCATCCTGGATGAGGGCGGGCACAGGTTTGCCATGGAGCCCCAGGAGTTCGACGCCGATGCCCTCCGGGACTTCGTCACCGCCTTCAAGAAGGGTGAGCGCAGCCGGGGGCTCCCCTTGCATCAGGCAGCCGCATCCCCACTCCTGGTCACTCTGACTCTGGTCCCCAAATGTCATGGCACCAAGACAGCCAAGCAGCTTTGGAGTGTGTGGGGGGGTGGGGATGGTGGGGGGTTTGTCTTTTTCCTTTGCCTCTTGAAAGCTGGATTTGGGGTCCAGCCTAGGGTTTGTTCAGCGTCGGCCTCAGGAAGCTGAGTAAGGGTTAGAGCAGGGTGCGGAGACGGGCAGCTGCGCATGCTGCCCAGACACAGGCAGAGTTGCGGGGAAGCTGAGTGTCCGGGGGCTTCGGAGCCTCCTCGTTGGCAGTGCCTTGCGAGGAGCCTTTGATGCCACTCCGGGGCCTCGGCGCTGGGAGGGTTGGCACAGAGAGTCCTGGGTCTGCCTTTCTTTAGAAAAAGGCAGGTGTGTCTTAGAAATCTTAGGGTTTTTTGAGTCAGGGTCTCATGATACAGTTCAGGCTGACTTTGAACTCACTTTGTACCCCAGGCAGTCCTCCTGCCTCAGTTTCCCAAGTGCTGGGATTATAGATCTGTGCTGCTATGCCTGGCTGTTTTAGAAATTTTGGGGGTTTTGGTTTTTTTGTTGGTAGTGTTTTTTTTGTTTTGTTTTGTTTTGTTTTGTTCTGAGACAGGCTCTTACTGAGTAGTCCCGGCTGGCCTCGAAATCTCAGCAATCCTCCTGCCTCAGCCCCCTGAGTGCTGGGATTACAGGCCTGCGCCACCATGCCTGGCTAGTTTAGAAATTTTACAGAAAGCTTTCGTGTAGTGTTGTGTTGTGATACTGGGGACTGAGCCACGGGCCTTCAGGCTGAGCTGCATCTCCAGTCCTTTATTTTTAGAGATAGGACCTCACTGTTACCCAGGCCGCACTCCAACTTGTGATTCTCCTGCCTCAGCCTGCTAGAGTGTGGAGATCACAGGCACTCATCACCATGCCTGGCTAAAACTCCTTAAAACAGGCATTTAGACTTGGAAATAAGTTTCATGTTTGTGGAAAACCTGTTTTTTATTGTTTATTTTGTATTGTTGGCCACATGGTAGCACGCCGCGGTGCCTGCTGGAGGATCAGCTTTCACCTCTGGCTTTTCGGGCACAGGGAGGATAGAAGATATGAATTGACCACGGCAGTGCCGTGGCCGGGACGAGCCCCGTCTCTGAGGGCCACCCTGTCCCCTCAGCTCTCACACTTCTGGCCCGGGGGAGCCACGAGGCCCCAGGCCTCCCGGCACTGACACCTCCTCCCCTCACTGCTCTTTTGGCAGGAAAACTGAAGCCGGTCATCAAATCCCAGCCGGTCCCCAAGAATAACAAGGGCCCAGTCAAGGTGGTGGTGGGCAAGACCTTTGACACCATCGTCCTGGACCCCAAGAAGGACGTCCTCATCGAGTTCTACGCGCCCTGGTGCGGGCACTGCAAGAAGCTCGAGCCCATCTACACCAGCCTGGCCAAGAAGTACAAAGGCCAGAAGAGCCTGGTCATCGCCAAGATGGACGCCACCGCCAACGACGTCCCCAGTGACCGCTACAAGGTGGAAGGCTTCCCCACCATCTACTTTGCCCCCAGTGGGGACAAAAAGAACCCAGTTAAATTTGAGGGTGGGGACAGAGACCTGGAGCACTTGAGCAAGTTCATAGATGAACACACCACAAAGCAGAGCAGGACCAAGGAGGAGCTCTGAGGCCACCGCTCTGCAGGGGCAGGAGGGCCACCGCGGGGCCAGGGCCACTGGCACGGTGATGGCAGCGTGGCTTTTTTGTTTATTTTTTATACTTTGGTATGTCACCTCGTGCTCTGAATACTGAATAGCCATGAATGACTAGTTTAGGCCAGATTTTTATGGAGGACACATCTATTTTTATCATTTGGGGTCTTTTTTTTTTTTTTAACCTTTTACTTTAATATTTCCTCAAAGCACCTAAGTTGAATCTCTTCCACGTGAGAATTTTTTTTAATTTAAAGTTAAAAAAACCTTTGCCAAATCATGTTGAGTTTGCCTTTTATTTTATGGTTGTCCGAGGGACTGTTAAAGAGGTGTGACTGCCGGGTTTAGCTTGTGGTTCCTTCCTCTTGGTGGTGGCGGACAGAGCTGTCCCTGAGCGCCCGCCTGGGATGATCTGGCCACCCCACTGTGCCACTGCTGGTCACACGCCAGGCCTGGGCAGCCCGGTTTCCCAAACAGGTTTCACCAGCAGTGTAGAAAAGACTTGGGGGGGAAAAAAAAAAAAAGACTGACATGGGTATTTGTGAGTGGTAGAAAAGCCGAGAAGATGGGGTAGGCTGTCATAGTGCAGTAAGGTTTTGTCGGGGGTTTTGGTTTTGGTTTTGATTTTTTGAGGCGAGGTCTCATGCAGTGCAGCCTGGCCTTGAACTTGCTGATATAGCCCAGGCTGGCCTCGAACCCACTTTGATCCTCCTGCCTCAGCCACACCTAGCCTAGCATGTTACTCATCGAAGTCTGATCCAGGCTGGCTCTACTGTTGAGCTGCGTGGCCTTGGGCGGGTTCCTTGGTCCCTTCTCTGATCTTGTTTCCCACCTGTGCGGCAGACTCACCCTGCTCCGCAGGAGTCTGTAAGGACTCCAGGCCATGTGTGGGGCTCGGGGTGGGGCACATCTCAGGGTCACGAGGTTTCGGGGAGTCCGGGCCTGACCTGGTTGTAGAAGGCGCAGCCCTGGAGCCTGGCGTGCGCTGAGCTGTGATGCGAGTCCCTATTTGTAGAGGACATCAATGCTGAATTTGAGCCTGCGGAGCCCTGGACTCACAACTGAAGGTCCTGCACCTGTCACAGCGGCTTGCTCCGTCCCCACCCGACTCACTGGGCTGGCACTGTGCTGAGGTGACCCGGTCAGCGTTTTGTCCAGGTTCTTGATGTCCTCTTGAGCAAGACAGCCAGGCGTCACAGCAGGATCCAAGACTGAAGGAGAAAAGACGGGATCCACACCGTGGGGTGGGGCCCGCCAGTGAGGAGCGCGTCCCTGAGCGGCTCGGTGCTGCGGGGTCTGAGCCCTGGGCTTTGGGTGGGGTTAGGGCTTGGGCTGAGGTTTGTCTCCTGCCAGACCAGTGTGGAATGGTGGAGTTTTGACTTCTGAGGGCCCCTGGGGGGTTAGGGTGGCCAAGTGCTGTGGGACAGCCGAGGCACTTCCCCGGGGACTCCTGTGCTCCTGCTGAGGTCCCTGGCCACCTTTCCCAGTGTCACTCAGGTGACCTGGTTCTGGAAAGCCCTCCATGGCTGCCCTCCTCTCCTGCCTTTCCTTAGCTGCCTGCTGTGGGCCAGGCCGTTGGTGGGGGGGGCAGTTCCCCAGTGCAGGCTGTGGGTCTGCATGCATAGGGTGCAGGCTCAGGGTCTGGCCTGCTCCTGGCAGCCCACCTCCCTGGACACTCAAATCTTTTCCATGCTCCCACATTCCCCGCAGTTTCACTCCTGTAATGGAGGCAGGCCAGGTCTCAGCTCCATCGTGGAGAAAAGGAATAGAGGTCAGAGATTAATTCCCCCAAGCCCCTGGGTCCATACAGGTGGGAGCCAGAGCAACCTTCAGAACCCACATTCTTTCTCAGACACCATTGTCTCCCCAGATGTGCTAGCAGACGTGGTCTGAATGTCCCCAACAAAACTCATATTGACATTTTTTTGAACAGGAAATCAAACTCGGGACTTCATCTTGCCAGGCAGGTGCTGCGCCGCTGAGCTACATCCCTGGCCCCTCGTGTTGAAATTAAACCCCTACTGTGACTGAGTGGTGGGGGCTTTGAGAAGCATTGGTGCCATCAGAGCTTGTCAGTACGGGTTGATCATTAGTGGATCGTGGATCGATGGGTTAGGCTAAGAGCGGGATTGTTCAGAAGGCAGCTTGGTGCTCTTTCTGGCAGAACTGGGAACTAAACCTGTGGCCTCTCACCGGCTAGGCAGCGGCTATAGCACTGAGCAACGTCACACACCTGCTCCTTTTGATTTTGTTTGCTTTTTTGAGATAGAGTCTAGCCTTCTAGCCCAGGCTGTCGAACTTGAGACAATCCTGCCTCAGCCTCCTGAGTAGGTAAAATTACAGGCTTGCGCCACCGTGTCCAGCTGGCTCTGGCTCTGTCCCCAAACCGTAGACCATCAGTGTGACCAGCATTGGACAGCAGCTGAGGACCAGTTCTGTTAAATTCACCCCTCTTCTCCTAGACTGGCCCTGGACCACCTCAGAATTGTGCAAATCCCCTTGAGCAAGAGGCACTCTCACCAGCTGCAGCCCCTCCACCCAGCCCTCAGGACTACGAGTGGAAAGAGGTCTGTTCTGTACACAGGCCAGGCCTGTGGTATTCAGGTGCAGCAATACAAAGATGAGGAAGACAGCGGAACACTTGAAGGTTAATTAGTGCTATTCAAGAGGCTGAGGCAGGAGAATCGGGAGTTCAAGGCCAACCAGACCGGACAATGTGCCGAGACCATGTCTCAAGAAGGGAGAGGGTGCTGGGAGGGCTGGAGATGGAGCACAGCAGCAGGGTGCTTGCCTGGCGTGCGTGAGGCCCTGGGTTCGATCCCCAGCACCAGAACAAAAAAGATGAAGAACTTGGTGATTTGGCTTGGAAAATGCTAGAGCTAAAAAACAAAAACGGGTCCTTTGTAGGAAGAGCCCTCCAGGCCTGTCTGTGGGAGGCAGGAGCTGTCCGTTGGGAGATGACAGGACCTTTTCTCGGCTTCTCTGACCACTTGTCCCCAGGCCACCACAGTGACGTCCCCCTAATGCCACGCGCCGCTGCCCTGCTCTGGTTGGTCCCAGCCGCAGCCTGTCAGGTGACCGGCGTTGGGTACGGGCTGCGGACCAGCAGGGGCTCGAGCCTGACCCTGGGGCCTTGGTGTGCTGCCCCGGAGAGCAAGCGACAGGTGTGACCTCCCAACTCCCATCAAACCCTGCGAGGACACGGTCGGTGCAGATTCGAGTGCTATGGTAGTGAGTCGGGGATTTTGGAGCCGAATCCTGTGCTGTGGGACACAAGTGAAGCAGTTGTGTTACTGAGGGATCATTGCTGACCCCGCCAGACAGGCTGGAAGGAAAGTGAGCCGCAGGACACCCGGCGCTGTGCACGTGGTCACTTGACACCTCTGGAGAAGGGGCGGATCCTCGGGGGACCGCTCCGTGCCCCCCCGCACGCTCTCTGCAGTCTCCGTTCTCGCTGGCTCTGCACAGTGCAACATGAGCTCCGCTCTGCAGCTCCCAGGCCCCATCTTAGATGACTAAGACACAGGAAAGAGACAAAGAAGTGCTTGTTAGGAAATGAAGACAGAGCAGGGGTCTTTCTAGGAGCTCCTGGGCCTGGAGGAGGAATCCTGTGACAAAGGAGCCCTTGTATCCACCCTTTTGGAGTTACATATTCAAAGACAGTCTGCTGGGTGTGGTGGTGCAGGTCTGCCATCCCAGCAGTTGGGAGGCTGAGGCAGGAGGACTGCTGTAAATTCGAGGCCGGTGTGGGATACCTAATGAGTTTACGACCAATCTGGAAAACAGTGAGACACTGTCTCAAAAAACAAATGCATGTATGCCTGCGTGAATGAAAGTGTGCTCGCTCAGATGGAAAACCGTCGTGCCGGGTTGTGCTGAGTCCTCCCTTCTGCCCTTGCCTGTGACTGCCGTGTCCCATTTGGAGGGCAGAGGTCATTAAGGCCAGCTGGAGACCCCAGCACGCTTCAAGGCCAGAGGTTGAAAACTCCAGTGGTCGAGGGACCTGGCAGGTGAGACAAGTGCTGGAAGGGATGACGCAGACCGAAGGTGACCGGGCCACCCTGAGCACCTGTGTTCCACTTTGAAACGGGTGTGGCTTCCTGTGGGTGCCTGAGCCCCTTGTCATGAATCTGATTTTTCAAAAGGAATCGGCCATTTTTATGTGAAATCAACCAATTTTGTTTGTTTTTAGTCAGGGTCTTGCTATGCAGTTCAGGCTGGCCTTGAATTTATTACGTACCCCAGTGCAGCCTGGAACTCAAAGCAATCCTCTTGCCTCAGGCTCCCAAGTACTGGGATTTACAAGCATGTACTACCACACCCACCCAGCTAAAATCAACCAATTTTTAAGTGCCAGATCTAAACTGGGGATGGCCAGGCATGGTGGTGCACACCTGTAATCCCAGCACTCAGGAGGCTGAGGCAAGAGGATCATCATTGTGGGTTCGAGACCAGCCTGGGCTACAAAGTGAGCTCAAGGCCAGCTTGAACTGCATAGTGAGACCCTGTCTCAAAAAACAAAAACAAAAAAACGAGGTGGTAGTTCCTGTCTGTAACCCTAGCACATTAGGTCACCAAGGCGGGAGGATTACAAATTGAAGCCCAGCCTTGGGCAATTTTGGACCTTAGCAAGACCCTGTCTCAAAAAATAAAATTTTAAAAGCCTGGGAGTATAGCCCAGTGCAAAGATCCTGGGTTCAATCTCTATTCCAAAAAAAAACCCAAAAAACAAAAAAAAAACAAGTCTTGCCAGCCATCATAGCACACACCTGTAATTCCAGCACTGGAGAGGCTGAAGCAGGAGGATTGCTGTGACTTTAAGGTCAGCCTGGGCTATGTAGTGAGTTCAAGGCCAGCCTGAACTAGCCTGTCAAAAAAAAAAAAAAATCAAATTGTTTTATCAACACCAAAGGGCCAAAGAAAAGGCATTAAAGGGCCCATTCAGTTAGAAACTTTTAAGTGAGCTGAGGTGGGAGGATCACTATGAGTCTGAGGTCAGCCTGGGCAAATGAGTGAGTTAAAGACCAGCCTGAACTTCGTATTGTGACTCTATCTCAAAAAAACAAAAAAAAGAAAGAAGAAAACTTCTAAATCAAACCCCCACCTTCTTTCCTGGTAGTGTTACTGTGAAGGAACAAACCAGCAGGAGGGCACCCCAGAGGGCCGCGGCCTGACAACTGAGTGTGCTTAGAAATGCTGAGGTGCTAGCCTGGGACTGGAATTGGGGCTGCAGTGAGTCACCGGCATGGATGACTGGGTTCACGGCACACTGCAACATTT